CCAGCCCTGGCTTGGCCCCCCGAGTGGGGGTGGGCAGGGGTAGGAGAAGGTGGGTGTCAGTCACTCTTTGGGTACCCCAGGCAGGGCACCCCAACGTTCTCAGCACAAGAGCTGTGCTGCAGAGGGGCAGCAGTGGGGCAGCTGCCCACCCCCTTGCCCTGCTCTGGTGGGAGACCCTGGGCTGCCTGTGTTGGTGGGAGTGGGCTCAGGAAGGGAGGGAGGGATCCTGCTCCTGGGAGCTCCTGACGCTGATTTGTTGTCTGTGTGAAGTGCTTTTTCATGTTGTAACCTACCTCGACACGTGCACGGGAGGAGATTGGCAGATGTCCCACGAGGAGTGGTACTACCACCATTTTACCCACAGGGATCTGCCTGCCCGTGTCCCAGAGGTTGTCCTGAGCAGGAGTGCCCGGCCCCCTTGCTTTAGCAGCTGGTGTTCCCCTGCTGCTTTTCCCTCTCAAGTTTGATTCCCCATCTCCCCGAACATCACACTTTGTACAGCAGATGAGCTGCCCTCTGCAGCGTTTGTGGTCCCCTGGGCAGTAGCAGGGAGTGGTGGAGCTGGATGACTGTCTGATTGCTTGTTAGCAACACCTGCCGATGTGTGTCCCCGCAGTGACGCTGTATGGCGTGTTCACCAACCACTACTCTGCCAACGGCCCCACTCGCTGCCTGCTGCTGGAGCTGCTGGACATCAGCGTGTCCGAGCTGCTGCTGCACTCCAGCAACCAGGGCTGCTCCATGTGGATGATCCAGCACTGCGCCCGGGATGTTCTGGAAGCCCTGGCCTTCCTGCACCACAAAGGCTATGTGCACGCCGACCTCAAGCCACGCAACATCCTGTGGAGTGCAGAGGAGGAGTGCTTTAAGCTCATTGACTTTGGACTTAGCTTCAAAGAGGGGAATCAGGTTTGGAACGTGCTGCTTTCAAAGCAGTTGGCTCTGTGTTGAGTTGCGTGGGTCTGTGATGCTTTCGGCTCATGTGTGTCACGGTCAGTGTGGCCTAGTCAGAGCAGATGCTGAGCTGGTGGTGAGAGTTTCCTGGAACAGGCTAAAATACTGTCTGGCTCTAGAAACAGAAGCTCATGTTCCTGCTCTCCATGCAGGTCTTTGGTTTCCCTTGACGTCTTGGCCTTTGTGCTACACATCACCATGAATTCCAAGTCCATGATGCACCGAAAAAGTGGTGTCTCAGCTTCCTGGGAAGTTTTTGTGGTCAGATGAGTGGGAGCACCCAGATCTGTAGAACTGCCTTTTATCATCCCTTCTCACACGTAGTTATCCAGGCTTCACCACCAGCCTCCCCCGTCAATTGCAAAATCTCTGGCAGCATCCTTGGGCTGTCTTTACATTCATCCTATCGTCAGCAGCTTCCTTTTCTCAGGAAGTCTGGATGTTTCTTTCCCATGCCATTGCTTGATTAAAGCCCATCTTCTGGTTGTGGGTAGGCAGTGTCCTGTCAGTGTTCTTTACTGACACAGGCAGATTTTCTTGCTGTCACTCATTTGTTTTGGTGATGACTGGGTTCTGTAAGTTTGTCCTTGCTCTTTTTATTCTCTTCCATGGTCTCTGATGAGAACAGAGAACCTCTGGATGTTCTGCTGTTGCTGGATGCAGCTTTATTTCACCCCTCCCTCTCTTAATAATCGTCTGTGAAGGGTATCACTAAAGCTTTTTCATCAGGTAGCCTCTTAGCAAATGTGGCTTTAATCATGGGATGATGGGCACTAGGTCTAGTAAACAAACTGTAATTTTTCTTCACAGACATTGTCCTCCTTGTCCTACTCCACACACTCATTTAGAGTAAATCCACACACTTTTTTTTTTTTTTTTTAAACTGGTTTACCTGGTATTGACAGTACAGCCCACTGATCTGTGAGTACCAGAGGATCGTGTGGGTGACCTGCCTCTGAATTCTTTGGTACAGGAGCTGTTTTTCATGTTTGTACTTAAACTCCTCCATGTTGTTCTTCATCTCTCCCACATTCTTGGCTGAACGCTAGCATGTGCTGGTTATCTGTTGCTGTCTATCAGCAAAAAAACATTCTCATGGTGTCCTGTGTCTAATGCAGATATCTTTTTTATTTTTTTTTTTCCTCTTTAGGACTGTGTTTTGCTGCTTGCTCTGTGAGGTGCCTTGTAATAGTTGATCAGGTGTTTTATTTGCTTCTGTGATTTTTTTCCCAACTGCTTCCTTTGGGCTGAGTTTCCTTTGCCCATTCTCAGATATATACTGGTTAACTCAGAAGGTGAAGCTTCTGACCCTGCTTTGGATGTGCTATGGGTATCAGGTGCCCCTCCCAGCCCCTGCCTTGGGCAGCAGCATATGTGCATTATTTCCTTATCTGAGTCAAGACTACATTACTTTTAAACTTTTTAAAAAACTCAATCTGAGTTTATCTGTGCATAACTTTTCCTGCCGTTACTGTTCAACAGAGAAGGGCTGTTCAATAGACCAAGGTCTCAGCGCTCTCAAAAGGCTTTAGATAGTAGCAGTGAAGTTCCACCTTGCTCTTTTGCTGGTGGCATTGACCAGGGTCTTTTCTCTGTGTGTAAATGTTGTTTGGTGGGGCTGCTAAACAGCTGCTTTTGCTGTGCTAGAGGTTCTGCTCTTTGCTGACAGGAGGAGGGGCACAGATGAGCAATTCATATATCAATTATTTTTTAACAGCTCTGTTGCCTGAAAATGTCTTCTGTAAAATTTTATTTTCAATCAGAGAACCCATAACTGTAGTTTGAATATATTCCCTTGGTAAGAATTCCCAATCCTGGGCCTTATCCAGAATGTAGGCTTGAATATTCTTCTTCCACTCCTTGAATCACATCTCAGAGGAGCCCTCCAGTGTTGAAAAGATGCAGCATAGTGTGTCTTTGGTCACTTAGAGGACTTGGCTAGCCAAAGCCACAGCTGACTGTCCAAGTGTCCTGGTGTGAGCTGTGAGTGGGAGGCTGCACTGGATACCTTCAGAGCAGTACCTCTGGCCAGCTCTTGTGTGATTCTGTAATTCCTTATTTTTGTAAAGTGGGCAGTGTGTGGGCATTTTATTGTCCTCTGCCAGCCATGGCAGCTGGGCAGGTATTGATTGCTGCAGCACTTCTGGCAGCAAAGGGGGAGGAGGAAGAGGTGCGTGGGAAGCGCCTTTGATAATTTCCTTGTCTGGGCATTGGGTTCATTCTTTTAAGGTTTGTTCCAGAGAACATCAGTACTTGAGTAATGGCAGCTGTTGTGGATCCTCACTGCTCAGACTGCACTGTTTGTGCCCTCATGCAGCTGACATGGGAGCATGTTGTGGGTGTTCCATCCTTATCCTGAAACTTCCACTGTCTTCTGCACTTGTGAGAGGCTAATGGATCAGTCTGTAGTGACACCCGGGCCCTTCCTCCCAGCAGTGCTGTCTCTCAGAGAGATCAGATGTTATGGGATGCCTGCTGCTTTGCTGGGAGATGTTTTCTCTTCCAGACAGTCTTGTGTTTTTCTTCACCAACACAGTGTAGGGAGTTGAACTGCCTGCCCAACAGGACTGGCTGTACAAAGCTTTCTGTCAATTTAGCAATAGTATTTTGGTGACTGATTTGGGAGGCCCTCTGTGAAATTATTTAAGGATAGAACAGAGAGCCTGAATCTGGAAAATTAACTTTTTATGGTGTGTTTGGTCTTCCATAGGATGTGAAATATATTCAAACAGACGGGTATCGGGCTCCAGAGGCAGAACTGCAGAACTGCCTGGCACAGGCAGGGCTCCAGAGTGAGACGGAGTGTACCTCTGCTGTGGATCTGTGGAGTCTGGGAATTGTTTTACTGGAAATGTTCTCAGGAATGAAACTGAAACATACAGTCCAATCTCAGGAATGGAAGGTGAGTGGGAGCTGCTGTGGACATTCTTGCCTGTACTAAGCAAATCCTTATGCTTGTTAATAACCTGGCTTTGTGAGGTAGCACTTAGCAGGTAGAGAGTGTTCCCAGGACATTAATCCTATTGCTTTGAGAATTAACGTTAAAGAGCCTTAAAGAACTTGTCTGTCCTTTGGGCCTGGCATGGCTGAGCACTGCCTATGTTCAGATTACTGAAAGCTGAGGGCTCCAGGAGTCTGTTTGGAGCCTGTGTCTTGCCAGGCTCTCCCCTGGCTGCAGTGTGGCACAGAAGGAAGAACAAAATGGATGGCTGATGGCTGCCAGCATATTCAGCAGCACAGTGACAGAGGAATTATTTGCTGGTTTTAGTCTAATGTTGGCTCTTGTAAGTCTCTATCCTGAGAAAACAAGAGGAAGGCTTTGTGTTGTGAGATAATTTTGGTTTGTGTTCCCCATCCCAGTAAGAGTATCCTTTCAGCATCACAACTTCCACAGTAACAGCAAATTTGCCAGTGCATGGAAATTTCCAGATTTAGCACAGGCAGGTGGGAAAAACTTCATCTGACACAGGCCTCCTGTGAGGCTGGAGCACTGGGGATCTGTCAGAAAATGCCACAGTACCAGAACCCTCTGCAGCCAGTCCAAAAAATAATGTGTTGTTTCAAGGTTTGCACTGATCTTTTCTTTGCTCCCTAAGCACTGTTTCTTTTTCTTTCCAGACAAACAGCTCTGCTATCATTGATCGCATATTTGCCAGTGAAGGGGTGGTTAATTCAGCCATTCCAGCTTATCACCTCAGAGACCTTATCAAAAGGTATCTTACTGTATTTAGTGTTTCTTAAAGATGTGCTCTGTCAAGTCTCATGCCTTGCTCTTGGTAACTTAAAGCCCACACCTAAGGCTTATTTTTTTTCTTTTTTAAAAAATATATCCCTGCCACTCTGCTAATACCAAGTGCAAGCATTAGCAGAGATGCTTCAGCTCCTCAGATTTTGGCACAGTTCAGAGTAAGCACATAAAGAATATCAGTCACAATGTTCATCATTTGCTGTTTCAGTGCTTTGCACCTCCTGCCAGTGAGGTTATATTTGGAGAAAACTGGAGACATTTCTGCTTTAAGGGAGTGTTGTCAGGAATGAGGGATTGGGGCAGGCAGTGATGGTTCTGCACTGCTGTCAGGATTCAGATGCACTTGTGCAGCCCTCCAGTAAGAGGGCTGCTGAGGGGATTGTTTTTGCTGTCCTGTGGCTCTGCTCTGAGGCTACATAGTGAATGAGGACACAACTTGGCAGAAATAGCATTGGGAGCCACTGGTAAAGCCAAGTGGGGGATGTTCTCAGACAAGCCCGGAGCTGTTGACTACTTTGAATCCCATTTGTGGAAAGATGTGGGAACTCATCAGAGTGTGATCACTTTTCATGAGTCCTCATGTGTGCCTGAGACTTGGGCTGAGTGGCCTCGGGAGATGAAGCTGGAACATTCCATGTTCCTTGTGAACTAGTAAGTCAGCTACTTCTGTCGTTTGGTGCTGAGAGACATGGAGAAGGAGAGCCTGCTGTACCACGTACCCAGGGTGCTTTTGGGGGATCCTTCTGGTGTGCTTCAGCTGTTACTGGGAAGATGTGCTTTTCACTCTTCTCTTTGTACCATAAGCATCCCAAAGGCAGGGTATTCCTCTCTACTGGGTTGAATTTGTCAATGCAGGAATGTCTCATGAAAGAACCTAAGGGTGTCTTCTCTTCCAGCATGCTTCATTGTGACCAAGGAAAGCGAGCCTCCGCTGAGAAGGCTTTATGCAGCCCGTTCTTCAGCATTCCCTTTGGTAAGCTGTGCACGTTGCCCCTGCTCCTGGCTTTCTCAGCAGGTCCTGGAAGCAGCACAGAAAGCAGCTGCATTGTGTTGGTTCTGGTTCTGGCCTTGTTGCCACTCCTGTGCTCCTTGTGGTGCTCACCAGACCCCTGCGGTACCGCAGCTCTGAGCGGTGCCAGTGCTCCCAGTGCCGCCCTGCAAGCTGTCACTTTGCCCTGGTTGGACTCCCACTAAGTTCTGCCCAAATCAAACTGACCAAGTGTATTGGCAGCAGCGTTTGTCAGAGGGGACAGAGATAACCAAGGTACTTACCTAATGCTGTGACCGTTAAGGTGCTTTTGAAGGGTGCAGTGCTATTTATGGTGAGTGGGTGGTTCTTCTTATGCCAAGAGTTTTCCAGATGAGAAGTCAGGAATGTGAGAAACTAGGGCAGTGCATGGTGACAGCATCTGCTGCTGCCTCCTCTGTGTGTGTTGAATGATCCCAGTGTGTTCTCCTTGTGTGAGTGTATTTTTGCAGTGACTGGCCTGTTATGTTTGGTATGTGTGTGTGGCAGGTACAAACAGATGTCACTGTTGCTTTGATCTGACACTTAAGTTTAATAAAACGGTGGTGTTTCCCCAGAGCCCCCACGTGGGTTGCAGGCTGTAAGCAAAAGATGGGCTGAGACCTCCCTGTTCAGGCTCATATTCCTCCCTGTTTTCTGTTCCAAAAGCAACACAGTAGCATTCTCCAGAGCTTGTCTGCTTTCAAGAACACCAGTTAATATCTTTGCATCCAGCATTTCTGCAGTGTAAATGAGTGTTTCAGGCATCGAGCTCCTGGCTGGGCTAGCATTTTCCCTTGAATCTCAGCCCTGCTTTTCTTAATCTGCTTGATGTACCTTGCAGTGAAGGTTAAGTATTGCCTCTTTGAGGTCACGTCAAGATACGGGCGTCCTGTGTATTAGGCAAAGGTAACAAGCTCATTCCTGTTTTCAGACTTCTTTTGCATCTCAGAAACTGGGACTGTCGTAATCAAAGCCAGTTTCCATGGAAGGAGCTGAACCTTGCAGCCAGTACTGCTTTAGAACAGAGGGAATAGTATATTAGCAGTGCTTTCTTGTTTAGTTTAAAACACACAGACCTCTGACTGTATCTAGGAAGGTGCTTCTGTGGTTAGTGCTACAAGTTTATACAACAGCTTCAGTTTGTCTTAGTTGCTGCTTCTCTTTGCCAAACTTGTACACAGGCTTGTCTGCACAAAGAAGCATTTACTGTTGCTTTCCTGGGAAGTCAAAAAATGATCTGTCACTGCCTGTCACTTGGACACGGCTGTTTTGTTTAGAGCAAAGACAGCTGAGAATGGCTTTCCTTGTCAAGTCTTGACTTTCCAGTTCATCAACTTCTTTTCCTGAGCTGCTTGCAGGCTGCAACCCTCTGTGTTGTCAGGGTGGATGGTATCACCTGGCACTCGGAAGAGGAGCAGAGCAGCTGGGCAGAAGGTACCTCCCAGGGCAGAAGAGCATTGTAGGAATTGCCTTTGTCACTTGGTTACAGAAAGACCAACCGGCTCTGAGTCCTAGCAGTTGATTTGTCTCCCTCTCTGAAAAAAAGACGTGAAATGAAGGACAGGTTTACTTGAATAAAAGAGTAAATGAAAAACACATCAGTGTTGTTTCAGTCCCCAGTTCATCTGATGTTATCTTGTGGTTGCCGACAGTCCTGTGGAAGAATGATCCCAGCAGCTCACTTGGAGCTGGAACATGCCTGGTTATTTGAATACAGCACCTTTATTCGAAGGGCTGCCCCTGACCACTGTCTAGACTGATAAGGCCTTTCATCCTCTAAGCTGTTCATAAGAACTCTTCCATGTCAGACAGGAGAAGATTTATAGCATGTGTGCTTGCCTATGATCTCTTGCACTGTGAAATCACCTTCTGTCTGTGCCTGGCAGAGATGTGAACTCCCTCATGCATTGTGTACTTAGCTTGGAAAAGTGTTTCCAAGGAAATGATAGCCTATTATCTTTGCAGAGGTGGTCAGGAGGCTCACACTGGAGAACTGGAGCCATTTCCTCCCTGCTATCCTGTTGCTATCAAGTGTGAAAACTGTGAGGTACTGATAGTGTGTTCAGCTACTGGAGCTGCCAATACAAATAAAAAACATTAATTCTCTTCAAATACTCCAAGTTGAGCTCCCAGATCTTAAATTCATGACTGGCCTGCCACTCCTTTTCAGGAGCATGAAATCAAGCCTTTGTCTCTGGAGAACTGACACTGTCCCTGCTGCTTTGAATTTCTAGGGGACTGGGTGTCCTCTAGAATATGTCTCATAGTTTGGCCATAGTCTGTCTACCTTGGCTGTTTCCTTCTTCCACATTAGTCTCTGTGCTACACTATGCCAGGCCATCTTGGAGCTGCTTGTTTTCTAGAGCCAAGTGCCCCATGGCCACCAGCTTTTGTTTCTGCTCCTCTGAAGTTGTTCACAGGATCACTGCTGGGCCACCTTGTGGCCAACCTTTTGTGGCCGTGCCTTATTCTGTAGCACTGCATTGTGTAAGTAACTAGGTAGTTTTTTTCCCCTTTCTGTTGTAATATTGTATGGTGGTCTTCAAAACAGGGCATTACAGTTAGATTTTGAATGGGGGAAGGTGCACGTGGTTGTTTAGGGAAGAACTGAAAGACCCTAGAGAGAGCAGAGGCTTGTGCCTTAGTATAGCTGAAGCATTGGAGTTAGAGCAGCTGGCCAGCCTGTTTTCAGCTTGTCTGGTAGCAGTAACAGGAGAGGCAGGTTACAAACTAGTTCTTTCACCTTCCTGCATCTCCATATATATGGGGCAGTTTGCTCAACTAGCATAGCTCCTGAAGTCGTGTCAATCTCTGAACCTGAGCTAAGCAGGCATAACTCTAGGCTTCATTTCTACTTGCTTTGTAATTTTAAAAGCAAATTCAGGTGGTGGCCTCAGTAATTATTGCATAGTGCACTGAACGCTTTGGAGAGTATCTCAGTGCACAAGAGAAGATAAGCTGGACCTGAAAGTCCTTTCCAACCAAGCAATTCTATGATTCTAAGTTGGGAACAGAGAATACAAGCTGTAAATGCAGGTAGTAATGGAGAGAAGCAAAACTGTACTTCACAGAGCAGTAAGTGCTTGTGTATGATTGTGCATATTGAGTCAATGTCCTGTTTTCTTGCTCCTTTGGACATTAATTTCTTTCCTGTAATTCTGTGGGTGTTGAACAGCTCCCCATATTGAAGACTTGGTGATGCTCCCCACGCCCGTGCTGAGGCTGCTAAACGTTCTAAGTGATGCTTCTCTGCAGTGCGAAGAAGAATATGAAGGTTGGTGCAAGCCATGCAATTTCCTTCTAGCAGTGTTGTCTTACAGACTCTGTTTTGTTTGGCTTTGGGGATGTGAGAACAAGCAGAAAAGCAGTTCATAGGCACCAGAAGAGTGAACAAAGAGCTGCTCAGCTGAGATTTGGTACCACATGGATCAACTGCACCAATAGAGAACAGATTAAAAGACTGATACAGAAAGAGCAGCTTGTAGCAAAGTTCTTAAAGGATCTCAGATTAAATAATGATAATTAAAAAAGGTTATTTTTGTTTTCTTCTTTGGTTAAATGCCCACAGACCTCATAATGTGTTTGTGGCTCTTAGCTTCTGCTGGAGAGGCACAGGACTCTGGAGCCCAGTAGCAGAGGTCCTCAGAAGTTTTCTAGTGAGCTTAGCCAAGATCTCAGCAGAGAACTGAAATATCTCGTTGGAGTTCTTAAACTGTAGCAGAAACTATACATGGTAGATTGCAAGGAAGGTCAGTGGGATTTGTGTTTCTGCTTGCTCTCAAATCCACCTGAGTGGCAAAAGCTAGAGAGCTCTGGGGATGTGAGTTAAAGGCTGGCCTCTGCTCACACAAAGAAGGGTTTGTGGCAGCTACTGTAGTTCCTTCCTCCAAGCACCATGACAAAATAAAATAAAAAAAGAAAACGCACTCACAGATCCCAAATGTTTTAGCTACTGGAAGGCCAGGCTTTGTCTGCAGGGCAAAGCACTGTCCATGTGCTCCAAGCCCTGCTGTTGGGGATTCACTGCCTGCAGGTCTGTGCTCCTGAGCTTCTGTTCAGACGCTTGCTCTCATTATCTGGCCATTAAGCAGTGTCAGCTTCTGCTCTGGCACCTCTCAGTTGTTTATTTTAGATTGAGAGGAAAAGACTGTCTGTTGACTGAATGTTCTTGATGTGTTTGTCTGGCCTTCATTTGTTTCTTGGCTTATCTTAGTTTGCAAAGTGAAAGACAAACAGCTCTTTTCTTTCTCAGATATCCTGGAAGACATAAAGGAGGAGTGTCAGAAATATGGACCGGTGGTTTCTTTGCTTATTCCAAAGGAGAATCCTGGTAAAGGCCAAGTAAGTGAAAGGAGGGGAGCAGCTGTGTATTCCCAGGTACATTCCATGTCCTGCAGGAGTGCTGCTCAGCTCCCAGCAATCTCCTGGCTGGTGACAGTGCTAAAAATAGCTGGTTGTCTTGAAGGACAGCACAGGTTCCTTCTTGGCTATGTAAGGTTGCCTAACCTGGGAGATCAAATAGCTTTAGTAGGGAAGCTGGGATACAGGAGGGAAGGGGAGAAGCCAATGGGTGGGAGATGAGGCTCTGAGGATGTATAGCATAATCATACTTTCTCCCACCTCACCAAATATGCTGCCCTTAGACATGAGGATCAAGAGGTGACATTGCAGCTCCTTCCTTTTTAGCTCCACTGCTCTGGGCTCAACCGAGGATAGAGAAGAAAAGTTTGGGAGTTGCTCCCCCAGTTGGAGGGATGAGAGGGGACAGGTGGCAGGCCGTGCTGGAAGTCCTGTTTCTCCTCTCTCTCTTTCAGGTCTTTGTTGAATATGCAAATGCTGGTGATTCCAAAGCTGCCCAAAAAATGCTGACTGGAAAAATTTTCGATGGCAAGTTTGTTGTGGCTACGTTTTACCCACTGAGTGCCTATAAGAGAGGATATCTGTACCAAAACTTGCTGTAGGCAGTAGCAACAATCAGGAGAGTTTTCTTGTTCCTCATGTGTTTTACAGTTGAATGTACAAAAGAGCTTCCTAGCCCTGCTTTTGAGTCATCTGTGAAGGAGAGATGCAAAGGACTTAACTGGGCTTTGAAACCTTTACTGCTGCTTTGTGGTGTGCGGAGGAGGCCAGGATGGCTTTCAGCGTGTGCTTGTGTGTGTGTTGTGCTTGCTCGTTTACACTGGGTGTGTGGCTTTGCCCCGGTGGGCCCTCGGGTGGCAGGAGCGGTGACTGCAGGAGCCTGGGAGGCCGAGCAGATCTTGGCAAGTGCTTTCAAGTAATTCGCAATGAGACCATTTAAAGTCTTAGCCTTAGCACTTGACTTAGCTCTGGAGAGGGGATTTCTTTGTTAAGCTTTCCTGTCATGCCCATGGTCTTCTCCAGTGCTGGGGAGGAGCAGAAGGAGGAAAGCTTCCCTGCTTTGTCTTTATACCTGTGGTGAATAACCAGAAACACTGTCCTCTTTAAGGTCGACCTTAAGTCTTTTGGGTCTTCACATCAGGTAGAGCAGAAGGAAGCAGTGAAATGAAGATCTGCTGAGCACACGGCATTACCCTGTCACAACCTTATGTCCCAAGAAGAGCTGTCCCTCTGACCTGGCACCAGTGGCACACTGGGCTCAGGCAGAAAGGTGTGAGTGTTGCTGCCTGCAGGGAACTGAACTTGCTTGTGTGCCTGGGGTGGGCAGGGACTGATGGTGGATACGTGTTGTCAGAGCAGTGCCAGCCTCAGTCCCAACACAACCTGTAAGCACTTTGTAACCTGAGGTGATGTGAAAACCCTGTTGTGTGGAGTCATCTTTCTAGCACATACCCTGTGCTGGCACTGGTGCTCCCTAGCTCTGATGCGTAATCATCTGTAACACGTAAGCATCTTTAGGTGATATTTTTGGAATGGAGTGCTACAGGACACATGATTCTTTGTGTCTCAGCAGGACTCCTGCCCTGCCAGTCTTCTAAGAAAGAACAAGTATTTGTCTGTTGTAGGTACCCATGCTTGGCTTTTCGTGTTGTGCATTTCAGTTTTGCTTTAACCTATTAGACTTGTAGATTAGAAGCACTGACACTTTTGGTCCTTCATAGGCTACACAAAGGGCCTGAGGCAACCTGAGATCCTGTATGGAAAGGGCTGGAACAGTCATCTGACTTGACTGGTCAGGGGAAAAAGTCTTTCCCAGTGTCAGGGACAACAGCTTTTGAGGAAGAAAATGCCTGGGAGAGCATGTGTTGCTGGTGTGGCTTCAGCACACAGGCAGGAGCTCACTTGGGCAGCTGCCAGGCAGGCAGAGGCCATTTCCCAGGGGTGTGCAGACCCAGGCACCCAGCACAGCCTCCACCTGCGGGGGTGGGCACTGGACTCCTGGTGAGCACTACATGGAGGGGGACCAGCATGTTTTGGCTTGCAGCCCTGGTACCAGTTTTAGTGAGGAGGAGAGCCCTTGTGAATTCTTTTCTCCTGCTGAAAAATGAAATACTTGCAGGCAGCTGCCTGAACCATCTCTGACCTTCCCTGGAATAATACCTGAATCACCTTGGAGTTTACTTTTTGCATCTTGCTGACACTGGACTCTCTGGAATCCTGCACTTAAAAGTCCTTCTTGATTTTTGCCCTGTGTGTGCCTGTATGGTCTGTCAGGAGATATGATGTCTGCAGCATTTAATGAGTTTGAGTTCCTCTCTGTGCTGGTGTAGAGTCCTGTCTACTGTGGCCTTTCCCAGACTCCCCCAGAAAGGACCAATCTCTTTGAATTTTTGTGTTGCCTTTGAGGTGGTAGGTTTTCCAGGAAAAAAAAAAATACACAACAAAACCCACAATGAGTTTAAAGGTGTGGTTTTCTGAGAATGATTATTCCTTGGTGTACATAGCTGTAACACAGCTTTGCATAGATGGTCACTCATTGCTTTTAATTTAACTGTCCTTGCAGTGAAGCACCTTCAGTGTCTGGGAGGAACTGGATGATTAGCTGGGTGAGGGTTTTTCCTGTGTGAACACCAGTGTTTAAGGTACTCTTTGAGTATCAGTAGGTATTGATGGACCTCCTCAGCTCAGAGTTGTTGCTGTCCCTGGCTGAGCCAGGTGAAAGCACTTTGGCACAGCAATTTGCATGCGGAATGCCATCCTGTTGGCAGCATTGTGCTGGCTGCATCTGTGCCTGTCAACTGGCAGAAGCAGACCTGGGAGCTCCTGCCTGTTGAGTACCAGGCTGTGTGGGAACATGTGGAGCTCCCTGGGGTGTGGGCTGTGAGGTCTGTCACCTACAGGGGTACAGGGAGATGGCAGGGTGCAGATGCAGAGATTAAATGCATTTAAGTTCTCACTTGCATTTGTCTGGAACTGTGAGCTGCTCTGTCATCCTTCAAGCATAACTCTTTTTGAGGCAGAATTATATTTTGGATTTGCAACTAAAGCCCTGCCAGGATTCATTTTTAGAGAGGAGCTACAGCCTGTTCCTGCAGCATGGTAGAGCTGTTCCACTAGTTTGGCTGGGGCTCTGTTCAGCTGCTTTAATAGGAGCTAAATAAATCTTGAAGACACAAACTCTTGCTACCAGGTTTTCTCCCTGGGTGCTCACTGACAGACTTGAGTGCTGAGCTGGGTAAGAACCCCAAAGCTGCTTAATTTTCCTCCTGGCAGGAGTTGAAGATGCTAATCTCTGTCCTGTCACTGGACCCAGCCCCTGGCTTCGCTCTGCAGGCCACTGTGGGGTACAGGAAGGTTTAGAATCTCCTTGAAGCAGAAACATTTTATCATTATCCCTCACCCTCTGCCTTCAAAGCCTTTTTCTGTAAAGCTGAAGCTCGCTCTGGCGTCTTGGTGATCTGTTGGTGGCTTGGCATAAGTTTCAGCCCTGCTAAAACTTGTGAGTTTCTTAACTCTATAAGATTGTATCTGAAGTGTGTGTGGTGATTCAATCCAAGGCATCTGTCGTGGTGTGTGTCTGGATGGGCCTGGCTTTCCTCATCTTCAAATGACTGCCTGCTTGAGTTGCAGAAGTGTTGAGGCTTTCCACTCGGATGCTGGCTGGGCTCCTTGGTCTGTGCTTCTGACAGCTTCCTCCTGATGGCCTTGGGTGTAGCACCGACCTGCCTAGTCCTTGTGAGGTGACAGCAAGACCCACAGGCTGCCTTTGAGGGAGAGATCTGCTCTGGGGGGAAAGAGATGAAAGATGAAGCCTCTGGAGAGAGCCAGGGAAGACTGGTGCTGCTGTGGTGGGATGCTGGGGCAGGCATCCCTGGGAGGAGGCAGTCCAAGGAGCTGCATCCCTTTGAAGCACGCGTGTGTGAGTGGGAAACTTGCTTGTGCTGTGCTGTTCTGTGGTGGTGTTTGGGTTTTGCAGCCAACCTGACAGGAAGTGTCACTGCCAGTGGAAGAACAGCCGTCCTTCCTGTGCCACCAGCGCCTGCCTGGGGGCAGTCAGCGACAGAGGAAGTTCTTTGCATCCTCCACCTATCGCTTACATGCAAGGAAGGGAACTGGTCTGTGAACCACCGGCCGAAGCACAACTCAGCGCTGATCTTCGTCACGTTCCTGATCCTGTTCTCGCCGGTTCCTTAACAACTTCACCCGTGGCACCGGGGCTGCCTTTCCAGAGCCTTCCGTGCGCACCTCCCGCTGCTTGATACACACCACGAATAAACGATGCTTCGGTACGAACGGCTCCCCGGCCTGCTTTCCTCGGGGGTGCCCCCGTGCCGGGGGCTGGGGGCTCCGGGGGGGCCCGGGGCGGGGTCCCGCGCCGGTTTCCCCTCACGCTCCCCCGCTGCTGGAGCCGGGGCTGCCCCGGGGGCTCCTCCTGCGCTCGCGGTTCCCGCGCCCCCGGGTTATTTC